GGAAAGAGTTGGCATGGTGCATTCCAGCTCCCTGAAGCTGGTTTTCAGTAGCACTGGGTGTGTGCTGAGAGAGAGGCCAGAGGTTCCTCTGATACCGATGATTGGGCTTGGGAGCAGGAGGTTGAAGACCAAATGAACTTCTTCCCTCTCTCCCTTGGGGCATAATGTGTCCCTGGACCTGCGTGTTACTGGTGCAGCCCAGCTTTTGCCAAGTCCACTGTTACTGGGACTTGTGAGCAGCTCACTGCTGGTAATATTTTGCACAAGCTACAAGTATTTTTTCCCAGCTGTCCTACCTGGGCTGGGCATTTCCAAACTCACACACACCCCCAGTCCCTTGGCTTTGGGAAGCTGTTAACTAACCATCCATGACAGCAATATTTGACTTTAATGTTTTTAACTCTGGTAATGTTCCCTGGGGTGGGGAAGTGCATGTCAGCCATCTGTTTTGGTGATGGTATTTAAACAGCACGTGGAGGCTGCAGTGCAGCTGCACCTCACTGCTGGGCACCAGGAAGTGCTGCTGGACTCTGTGGCTGCTCACAGGGCACCCTTGTGCTATTTATGGCTCTGCCTTTTGCAGTTTGATGACCACCTAATTAGCCCCAAGGAGTTTGTCCACCTGGCAGGCAAGTCGACCCTGAAGGACTGGAAGAGGGCAATCCGGATGAACGGGATCATGCTCCGGTTAGTCTCCTCCTTTGTATCTGCGGGTGCTTCTTTCTGGGGGATAGTGGTGGGGTGGAACAGAGCCTTTGGCATGGTTGTTTCACTGCTGAGGGAGCAAATGAACCACTAAGCATTAGTCTTAATGATAGCCTGGCCCCAGATATGGTCTGTCCAATGGCTTGGCTCTGTCCTTGTGCCTAGGGAATAATTTGGGGCAAGAAGTATTTCTCTGGTCTTTTTAGGACTTGAACCACACCAAGTTCCCAGCTGGTATAAGGACACTGGAAATTTTAATGGTCACTGGTGGTCAGGCTGTGTTGTCTGTGGGTTCTCAGAGTGACCCACCAAATGGAATCAGTCTGGTCATCTGGCTGCAGCACATCTGCTTGACATCACTTTTAAATAAGTGCTTCTTTATGCAAGCATTTCTCTTCTCCAGTCTTAACTACAGTAATTCAATTCTTCCATGGTCTTCCTGAGGCTGTGATTTAATTAAAGTCTGTCTCTGCCTTTGGGCAGGATAAAAAAACATCACCTCTTTCCTCAGGAATTTGTCAGTGGTTTTGTGCTCTCTTCACAGGGTGACATTGCCTTTCCCTGTATTCTTTTGCTTCAATGCAGGCATCTCCCATATTCCTTCTAAGCAGCTTTTGCTCCACACAGATTTTGCCTAATAGGCTTAGGCTTTGGGAAGGCAGGGAGGGGGAAAAAAAAACTTCAGGAGGAGTGTGTGAAGGCAAGCCCAGCAGCCCATGGAGCAAATCTTGGGAAGCTCACGTGGTTGTTGACCAGTAAGACCTGGGGATGCTTTGCAGACAATGAGCTGGGGAGATCCCATGTGCCAGTGTTGCCACCTCTTTTGCTCAGGATGAGAGACCTGATTTTAGTTTATAAGTAGGGTTGCATCCTGTCTCTTTTTGAGGGGTAGAGTCAAAAAGGGAAGGAAGAGGCTCCCTACAGTCTCACCCTGAACTGAGACTCACCCTTGTGCTGAAAGCTGCAGCTTTGGGGGGGGAATACGCTGATGGGACCAGACCTTTACTTCCTCTTCCTCCCTGAACAAACAAGTTCATCAGTCCCAGTAAGAGCTCCTCTTGCCTCTTTCTGCTTCTCTGGCTTTTTGGGACTCAGAGGTTTGGGGTGAAGACTGTCGGGAGCTGCATTTTGGAGCTCTTGGCTCTTGCTGATGTGCCTGTCCTTGTGCTTGCTCCCTCTCTTTCAGGAAGATCATGGACTCAGGAGAGCTGGATTTCTACCAGCACACAAAGGTCTGTTCCAACACCTGCCGAAGCACCAAAATCGACCTGACTGGAGCCAGGGTGTCCTTGACCAGCCAGACGTCCACAGAGTACATCCCCCTGACTCCTGCCTCTGCTGATGGTACGTCCAGCCATTCCTCACACCCTGAGCAGGAGCTTCAAAGCATCAGAGCACATGAACACTGTGTAACTAATGTCCCTTCTGGCTGGAGCTGGCTTCAGCCTCATGGCTTTCCCAAAACTGAGTAGCTGAAGCAGAAGACTGTGGTTAATCTGTCAGGAAGCAGTAGTTGTTGTTCAGAGAAGTTCCCTTCTGTCCTTACTGCTGGTCAGGCTATGTCTGTAGGGATGAGCTCAGCTTCTCCTGCTGCACAGGGTGCTGGGGTAGGAGTCCCTCCTCCTCCCATCTCTAACCTGACTTCTGGAATAATTTAGAGGGTTTTATTTAAGGCTCACTTAACATGTTGGTCTGATGAAAGATTAAAGAACACTGAGGGACCCATCAGATTATTTTTTTATCTGCACTTGTGTATGCAGATCATTAAAGTCAGATTTAAGTGATGTGGTTACATAGCTGGAGCCCTAAACTTAATGGCTTTAAGCTGAAAGAGGGTAGATTTAGACTGGATATTGGGAAGAAATTCTTCCATGTGAGGGTGGTGAGGCACTGGCAGAGGTTGCCCAGAGAAGCTGTGGCTGCTTCATCCCTGGAAGTGTTCAAGGCCAGGTTTGATGGGACTTGGAACAACCTGGTCTAGTGGAAGCAGAGGGGTTGGAATGAGATAAGCTTTGAGGTCTCTTCCAACCCAAGCCATTCTCTGGTTTTATGAATTTGACCTATAATTACAGGCAACTATTTTATTGGAAAGCTTTCTACTTTTGAAGTACTTTTTTATTTCTTAACTCCTTTTGCTTCTGAGCATTAAGAACAGCCCCCAAAGCATCCCGCACCCTGAGCTCCCGGTAGTGCCTATGGGACAGAGTGAGCCCCTTGGCCAGCTCTGCAGAGCATCAATTGCACCATGGCCTGGTATTAATCTGGAGAAGCTGATGCCAATATGCAGTTCAGCCTGTTCCAAGCCTTCCCATTAAACATGGGCATCAGCTCACCAATGGGACACACTTCCCACACTGCTGGAATAACCAGAGCCCCAAAGGCTGTGGAGTGAAGGAGCAGAGTGATTGGATTTAATGGCAGCAGCTGAGCATTCCAAAGGCTCTGCACAGCTCCGCGGGGCTCTGGCCAGATTCCCATCCATCCTGCTCGTGTGCACGACTTGAATGACGCCGGTTCCTCCGGCTCTATGGTAACAAAACCACTGAGCTTTGGCAGAGCTGGAGGGAGGGAGGGACCCCCCTGCATCCCTGCACAGCAAGGGGCTGCTCTCCCCTTTGAGGCTTCAGAAGCCCCCAGGCAAACAGTGGCTGGATAAAAAGGGCTGCCAAAAATCAGACTCTAAATCTGTTTGTCTTTTGCCCTGAGCAGTACTAGTGTGTTTGGGAGGGAAATGTTGCTCTCATGTATGTGTTCTTGTGCTGCAAGGGTTGCAGGAGTAATCCCTGGGGATTGCACTCCAATGTGGAAAAATAAGATGGCACGGCAACCACTTGGGCATCTCTCTCTCTGTTCAGCACTGAAAGCTGCTTTCAAACAAAAGTGATCCTGTACAATAAAAGGAAGTCACAGAAATGCAGCAAAGGAGTGCTTCCCTCAAAACAACCTGTGAAAATACAGGGAAAAATCAGGACTTGGGAATTTTCTTTCTTTTCTTTTTTGCTATTGGTTGCAGTGAATGGATCCCCAGCTACAATAACCATAGAAACATGTGAGGACACCAGCGATTGGAGCACCAGCATCGGAGGTATGGCTTGGGATCCTGCTGGGCTCAGCCCAGCTGGGTGGAGGAGATGTGGGGAAAGAGGGAAGCAGCAGGAGGGTGAGAAGCAGGAAGGACCCTCTTGCCAGAACAGCCTTGCACGAACCTTGTCAGGGATTATTCCTTCGCTGCTTTCCGAGTGAAGCGCTAGTGTGCAGGCTGACTGCAGCATCACCTTGGGATGAAGTTGTTTCCAAGCACTAAGATATCAAAGCCACAGCCACATGTGGCTCTAGGGGAAAAAATAATCTATCAGAGAGGTCATAAAATCATTCTTGCTCCTTGGTGTGCTCTGAGCAATGGGCTTCTCTGTAGCAACAGTGCCTTGTTTGTGTGGGACAGGAATGGGAGAGCATGTCCTTTCCCAGCCACCCCTCCTTTGGGCACATGCTCTGGGTGGGCTTTCCCCCAGCCCCCTGACCTTCAGCCTGGCAGGACTGCACCCTTGCAGAGCCACAGGGAACCCACAGTGTTCCATTACCATTAAACCCCCTCCAAGGATTCTGAGGTTCTCCCTTGCTTTCTCCAGATGACACCTTTGCTTTTTGGCGTGGTCTGAAGGACACAGGTCTCCTGGAAGATGTGATTAACGAGTTCCAGCAGGAGCTGGTGGAGACCATGAAGGGTTTGCAGCAGCGAGCACAAGATCCTCCGCTGCAGCTCGGTGGTAAGGACTTGGACAGGGAAGAGGGGCTTGTGGATTTTTCTTCTCCTTAGGGATATCTGAATGGCACCATAGGGGCATAAAGGATTTTTTTTTTTATGATGTATCTGGCTGCTCCCTGGACAGGCACTTGGCTGCACTCAGGAACCCTTCCGCTGTCCTCAGTTCTCCCATTCCCTGTGCCTGGGGCTTCTCTGCTGACTGGGTCTGGACAAATGCTTGGCTTGGGAACTGAGGTGGAATTTAGGCCATTGGAATAAAGATGCAGCAAGCAGCTACTGTGCCAGCAGATTTCTTATCACCCCTGCTAGGCAGGAGAGGACTGTTTACACGCTAGTAACCCCTTGCCCTTTCTCATGGCTTCTGCCTTCTCCTCTTCCCCAGCCTCTTGCATTACCCTCCTGCAGATTTTGGCTGTCTCAGCTGGATGTGTTTGCTGTCATGTGGCTTTTCCCAAGCCATAAATAGTTTGCATAGTGAGTTTCACTTCCTCAAAGATCTGTGTCTTGTTTTTAAGATGCTGTTTTACTCAACAACGTAGTCCAGAACTTTGGTATGCTGGATCTGGTCAAGAAGGTCCTGGCCAGCCACAAGTGCCAGATGGATCGCTCGAGGGAGCAGTACGCACGGGATTTGGCAGGTATGCTCCCCGGACATATCCTGTGGTACTCCTCATTGCTGCCAGTGCCTTTTCTTTTGGGCTAAGGAAGTGGGTTTGTGTTCAAGCTGGTGTGTGTTAAACCAGACGCAGTGGGACTGGCTCCAGGCATATTGCCATGGTCCCTGGGAAGCTTGTCGAGGCTGAGCCAGACCTTTTCTCTCTCCAGCTCTGGAGCAGCAGTGCGATGAGCACCGCAAGCGAGCAAAGGAACTGAAGAACAAATCGCAGCATCTCAACAACGTCCTGATGACCCTCACACCTGTCTCTGTCCCCACACCTCTGAAACGTCCCCGGCTGACCAGGGCCACCTCCGGACCGGCTGCCATCACCTCCCAAGTCCTGTCCCAGCCAGCCCAGCTTGCTGTCACCCCCCGCGGGCCATTTTTTTTGCCAGTCTCCCAGCTTGCCAACCTCCCGCTCGGCAAAGTGGTTTCTGCCCTCCCGACCTCAGTGCTGGGGAAGAGCCCGTCCCAGCCTGCCACTGCCAGCTCCCCAGCCTCCCCCCTGCTGGGGGGGTACACCGTGCTGGCCTCCGCCGGTTCCACCTTCCCCGGCGCCGTGGAGATCCACCCGGACGCTTCCAACCTGACGGTGCTGAGCACGGCCGCTGTCCAGGACGGCAGCACAGTGGTGAAGGTGGTGAGCCCCTTCCAGCTCCTGACACTGCCAGGACTCGGCACGACCATCCAGAATGTGACACAAATGGCTCCAGGTGGGAGCACGGTCGTGACCATCCCGTCCAGTGCCACCGAGGCCACCGGGGATGAGCACGCTGCCGCCGCCATCGAGGTGACCGCAGTGGCTGACGAGGCGGAGCAGAAATGAGAGGGAGGACTTGCCTGGAGGGACGCTGGCCGTGCCACTCTGGGGGGAACTGCCTCTTCTCTGGCTGTGCTGCGGGATGAGGAGCAGTGTCACGAGGGGCACAAGGCTAACAAGACTCAGAGCAGCTCATGTCGGGAGCAAGGAGGTTCAGGTCAGAGGGAAGGAGGGGGAGGAAGGATGCCTGGAGAAGGGAAAGGCAAAAATGCTCTGCCTTGTTTGGAGGAGAGAAATTAAAAAGAGTTTATTTTTTTATGAAAGCTTTCCTCCCCTGCTCTCTTGGAATAGTTATCTTGCTCTGGCCTCTCAGCAGATGCAGCCAGAGCAGTGTCCATCGGAGAAGTGGGCAGGAGCAGGGAGAAGGTGATAGCGAAAGGAAGAGCAGGTGAAGCTGCCGAGGGGTCTGACGTGAGGGGAGCTGGTTGCTCCTGATCCCCAGGGGATGCCAAGAGCAGGAATTCCATCGAGTGTGTGGTCATTACCACCAGGAGGGATGCTGGCAGAGCGGGCACAGGCCCTGAGAGTTTGGTTTCTGTGTGTGACACTGGCTTTGGGTAGCAGAAACAAGTGGGAGCTGTTGTGACACTGGTCATGGCAGTTGCCAGGTGTGCTGGGGGAAGGAGTGGGAAGAGAGAAACCCAGAGGGCCGGGAAGAGCTGTGACTTCTGAGGATTTAGGGTCTCTTTTTCTAGTTTTCTCAAAAAAAACCACAAAAAAATCCATTCTTTGGGATTTTTTTTTTAAGCCAACGCGGCGATTTTTAAGCAAAGCCCTGGCTGGGAAGCTCATTCTGCATGGCAGAGCCGTACTGCTAAACGTGCAGAGCTGAGCTGAACAGCTGTGCTCTGAGGAGCTCACACTTCCTTATGAGGGGGGCCCTGGTGTCCCAGGTCTCCAGCATCCTGCTGGGTGCCTCATCCCACGGGAGCCAGGCACTGCTGTTCCCTCCCTGCGGGGCTGGAGCAGCTGTTCTGTAACAGAGTGGTTGACCCCCCAGGACTCCTGTGGTCACCCCACTGGCTGTGACCCTCACCAGGTCCTATCCCAGGGCCCATGTGTGTCCTGTGGCCACAGAAATGCTCTCACTGTCTCCAACTGGAAGGAGTTGGGTGCTTGGAGTATTGGGGTTTCTCCAAACTTGATCTGGCAGCAGATGAGCTAACTTTAATGAGGTAATAAATATTTTTTTGGAAGAATTTTGCTGGTTTACTGTGTTTCTGTGTCTGGGTGGGACATCCAGGGTTGCAGAGGGGGGGCTAAGGCAGGACAAGAACATACTTCATTAAATAGAAACGTACATGTTCTCTGGGCTCCCTCTGGCTCTGTGCCTACAAGGAGCCTGAAACTTGGCTCCAAAGTCTGGTTGTCCATGGTACGGCTGGCATCGACTGGCTGCACCCAGTGCTGATAACCACCAGTCCCCAACCTGTGCTTAGAAAAGTTCTGACACGTCATCTGGAGGAAAAGTGATCTATTCCGCTGAGGCAATAGATTTTGTTTCGTTTCAGGTGAGGCTGAGCCTCAGCCACAGCTGATGAGGAGGAGTCCTGTCTTATCAGAGGCTTTTCCCTCCCAGCTGCCTGCTGGTAAGATAACACAGTAATTTCTTCTTGTTATCTCTGTACTTGGGACAGCAGTAGCATGTCAGGCTGAGGAAATATAAAGGCTGTGATCACCCTGAGCTACCTCTTGCGTCTCCAGCGTGAGCAGCAGTGCTGAGCCATACCTGGGGTGCGTTTCCAGCCCAAATCCCCCTGCTCCCGTGCTGTGACGGTGAGTGAAGGTCCCTCTCTGCCAAAGGGACACCTTTCTCCAGCAGTTCTGGGTCTGGAAAAATGCAATGCCTTTACCCAGCCCTGGAGATCTGTGGGTTGAGCATCCTACTTCAGCCATCTCTGCTTTGGACAAACGCAGCCAGGTTATCCAGGGTCTCTGGGAGCAGGGACAGTCAAGTGGAAAGGGGATAGCTGAAGGGACCTGGCTCCTCTTTTTAAGGGTATCTGAGAGATGCCATCAAAGTGTGAGTAGGACAGGGTTTGTGGCAGCTCTGTGTTGGTGTCACAGTGCTGGGGATGTGGCAGTGGGCAGTGAATGCCAGGGCAGAGCAGGCACGAGGCATCAGCTTTTCCACAGCTCTGTACACCTCTACCTGCTCTAGATCACCTCACCGGCAAAGCATTCCCAGTGTGGGTGTACTTTGCCCTGCAAAGCAGAGCTTCCTCGGGATGTAAATAGCTCGCCAAGCAGTAAAAGCTCTGCAGGCAGATTTGGGCTGGTGCAATCCACCCCTCCCTTTGTAGCAGCTTTCAGGGCAGCCAGACAGGGATCTCCTGGTGGGACAGCTCTGTCTCACCTGAAACCACTCGGGATGTTCAGGGATGTCCCCGTGACATGCTCCACTCCCGAGGTGGCTGTGCTGCTCCTGAGCATGTTGTGGTGCTTCTCTGCCCTGCCGAGGGCAGCTGGGGGCTTACAGAGTCGGCAACTCGTGATAGGACAAGGGCTGAGAAGGAAAAGCGAGGAAGGGAAGTTATCTGCAGCCGGTTGTAAACAGAGATTATCAGTTAGTGTCTGGATGAGTGGCCTTGGGCTGGATGTGGCCATGGGGGATTGAGCAAGACGCCCTAGCCAGGGGGACATTCCCATGTGAGTATGGCAGCTCCTGGTCCTGCAGCTCTGGTTTCAGTGGGGGTGATAGAGCATTGCCCATGGGAGGCATGTCCCACGTCTGGATCAGCTCTCCCAGTGTGCTGACAGCAGGGCTGAGATCTGGGGCTCTGCAGGGGGGAGTCCCCAAGCCCTGCCCTCCTCAGGGGTCTGCACTTTGCAGCCAGGTGCTGCTGAGGGTGCCAGTGGGCTCCCAGGGCTGCAGTGGGTGTCATGCACTCCACAACTGGAACATCGTGGTGGATCTCAGTGGGTCAACCTGCTGTGTGAGCCTGGAGTCCCTGCAGCAGTGCTGGGGCTCTCAGCACCCACTCTACCAGCCTGCTGCTGCTGTCCTGGGATCCCCTTGGGTGCTCAGCCATGCTCCTCTTTCCTCCTGTGAGGAGCCCAGGGCTGCTCTACTCACAGCCGGGCGTGTAGGACTTGCATCCAGAGACAAATTACATAAGGGCTGCAGATGACTCATGCCAAGTCCCTGTTTTTCCCTGGATTGTGTGGTGATGGAGGCACGTCCACTTGCTTTTTCTCCTCCGTGTATCCACGGGAGCAGCCTGCAGTATTTGGGAAGAGCAGAGGCTCCCACTTCCCAGGCATCCAACCGGCAGCATTGCCAGCAGAGCCATGCCGCGATCCTGCCTGGCAGCTGCCTGTGGGCTGCCAGGGAGTGGGGGGCTGTGAGAAATCACCAGTTCCTCAGTCGCTGGGTTTCTCTGGGCTGGTTGGGGCTGTTACCAGGGCAGGAAATGCTGCAGCATCCTCACGAGAAGGCTCTCCCAGCTCCCGATTTGTCCTTGCACAAGCCCTGTG